TAACTCTTTTTATGTATTACGTCCACTCTAGCGATTCGGGGCGTTTGGTCTAGTATTACCCGAACGAGTTGCATACTGGGAACTGAAATGAAAACATCGCATACATCAAATACATACATACATACATACATACATACATACATACATACATACATACATACATACATACATACATACATACATACATACATACATACATACATACATACATACATATATATATATCCAACGTATGTGCTTCACTTTTACGAGGAAGAAACAACAAAAGTCATTATTTGAATAGTCATTGGAATAATAAGCCATTATCCAACACTTGTAGCTAATGACCACATTCGTAGAGTCATTCGTACAACCTGTCATTATCCAACACTTGTTGCTAATGAGGACATATATGACATATCATATGAAATTATGTGTCATAAAGGCAATAAAACATACTTAGTACTATTCAGAGAAACGTACTACCTCTTAGCCTTATATGAAGCAAATTTTTCTTAATGTAACATCTTAAATTTTAAGTGTAAGAACTAGAATGTTGTCCTTGTTTATACTTCTTAAAAAGCTCATCAGTTTTGGATCTTCTAAAGACACAAAATCCAACAACATAGACACAAGCCAAGAAGAACAGTGTGGCAAGAAGAACAAAACCAGCCTTCCTCCAATCTTGTCTAAGGCTAGCAAGCATTCCAGCCCTGCATGAATCACACCCATAACAAAGCTGGTCATTGTTGCTCCATGCCAAGCAATCTTTGTCTGCTGTCATGTTTATGGGACTTATCCAATATGTTGGGGTTACGTAAGTGTACCCGCATTCTGTTGGTGGCTTGCAACATCCCGACTGTCAATTAAGCAAATCCAAGAAGAGTAACATCAAGAGTTAATCACATCATTAGATGACATTTTTTAAAAAAAAATTGAGTTTTTAATGAATAAAACGGAAGGAGTTGGAAAGAACTAGATTTGTTGAGAAATACGAGAAAATCATTATGAGGGAGGGATCAGAACGTTTAATTTGGAACACCGCTAAGAAGAGGATGTAGACAATTAACACAATGCGAAAAAGTGTAAAATATTCTAATACGCGATCAATTTTACCTGAACGGGAGAAAGCGGAGCATTGAAGAAATCCTGAGCATTATGAAAAGTTTTGTTCAATTTCACACAAGCATCTGAGGAGCTCAAGCAATTCCAAACCCGGGCCCACCTAACGCGACCGTGGACTCGGCGTCGAAGCCAACCCGAGTAGTCGTCGAACCGATACTCCAAGTAGGCTCGGTTCGGCTCGTGGTGAGCCGAACCCCTAGACGTGACGCTAAACGCGAACGCAGCCAAAGCACCCAACAAAACCATCAAAACCAACATGGCCACAAAATAAATGACCATAAGTAGTTGGATCTTCCTAAAGCCTCCCACAATGCCAAGAATAGCTACCATTAAGATTGCAATTCCTAGGGCTATGACTGGCCAGTTCAAGAGATTTATGCATGAGATTTCTGCTTGGGTCATTAGCCATATTCCTGTGGCTATGATTGGGACTGAGAGTAGTAAAGCTACCAAATTGATGGCTCCTATGACATTTTTGTTTAGGGCCATTTTCTGCCTAACATATGGAATGATA